TCTCTCATCCGGACCATTAAATTCATGTAATCTAAAAAAATAACAACCGATGGTTGTGATTTATCGAAATATATTAAGGTACATATACCAAGTGTGAACACAGGCATATAGCGTACACCAGGCCTAGACAAAAAGAAATAACACTTCTGATATATAAACCCGTAAATGCAATATGCTATGAGATTTATGGATGTTGAAGATGAAACAGTTGTATAGAAAATTATACTCAACTTTAAGTATTTTCATAACTACAATAGCAACAAAGTTGATCTGTCACAAGAAAACTATAAGATAAAAACAAGCAAATTTAGAATTTGAAGGGAAGATGAAATTCTCTATAGAGTATAAGTCAAATATAAGAAATAACTATGTAGAATATTTTCCAAATCTATATGGGAACAATCACTCGAGAAACTTCTCATCTATGTTCTACCCTTTGTACTCATTCTAATTCTCTTACCATCAAATATATCTATTTGTTCTTTACTCCTCTTATTTTATATGATGATGTCATTAGCAATATTTCATCGGTTGACATGTTGTCGAAAGCGGTGGACCGCTTGATGGGAGAGCTAGACCGCTTAGTAAAAGTAGTAGACCGATTTATTGAAAAGTGGCCGACCGCTTAGTGGATGAGGCAAACTGTTTTCTCCATAGTCACGGTAACTTGCAAATCACTGTAGCAAAATCATAATTATTAAGATAATAACATGAAAAATGTTGTTAGAAACTGGGTTCTAGGAGATCCCGGATTTGTATGGGTGATGCCAAAATTAACTAGATCAATTAGAAATCGATCTAATTAAGGATTCGAGAAGTGATGAGAAATGGGAATTGATGAATATTAGGAAAGAAGAAGAAGCAAAGGTGAACCTCTCATTGCAATTGAATCACTTCCCTTCCCGCTTCTTTTGCTCGATCTCAGTTGTGGTCACCTTGACAAACCCTTTTGAGAGGCTCGTGGTCAGGGTCGGGCTGCACAGATTGTCGTTATCCGGGTACTACTCCCACTCCTCCCAACGTTGTCGCTCCCCCATCGCTACTGGCCACTGCACTATTGCATGTCCCACTACTTGGCATCTGGTAACTACCTATAGTGTTCCTCCGGCTCGCTATCTCTTCCTCATTGCAGCCTGAAAGTTTGAAGGCAGTCCTCAAAGAGTCAGGCTTAAATACCTTGATCATGGTTTTTATCTCGGGTCACGATCCTGCCATACACAGTCCCACCATAGTGTTCTCAGACACACCCTTGCACTGGTTACCCAACTTGAAAAACTCGGCCATGTACAAGTCTACCGTTCTCGTCTGTCGTAGCTTAGCCAGCTGCTCCGGTGCCTAGCCCTCTGACTTACCAAACTGGTATCAGAGCTCTTCTTAAAACCTCAGCCATGTAATCAATGTTTGGGCCTCCACATAGGATCTCTCCAACCACTCCCACCATTGTAGAGCATCCCCCTCTAAGTAGAAAGATGCTAGGTGTGCCTTCCGTTCTTCTCTCGTGGGATGGTTCGTGCACCACTAGTCAACTACATACAACCACAGACCAGCATCCTCCTGACCATTGAATTTTGGAAATTCAATGGTTGGGGATTTGGCTCTAAACACAAGGTCATCATCTCCATCATATTCCCGGTTATATCCACCATACCTGTCAATTCCCGGAGACTTGTCGTGGTAGTCACGAGGAAGCTGCAGATCCCTGCCCTGGAACCAAGTAGCCTCATCGTCCCCTCAGTAGTGCGCACATCACTCCTTCCCACGCCATGTTCGATTAACGCCCCGCCGCTCGAGGAGTAGTGAATGGTAGGGGTGTTAAAATGGAGTAGTTATCATGGTAACTGTTTTAATCGATAGTATTTAGATAATTTGGTTTGGTTAATTGGATAATTGGTTTGGTTTGGTTAAATTTTTTAGCTTGTTTGGTCTCAGTGGTTTGATTTGGTTTCAGACACTCTAACCAATCAAACAAAATTAACTAGTTAAGTAATTAGCCATATATCTATATTATACAAGGTTGTCAACCCGCGGGTTGGCCCGGACCCGCCCTAAAAAACGGTTCATAGCAACCCTTTTGACTGTCAGCCCGAGACTGGTCAAACCCGACGAAACTCGGTCAAACCCGAAAAAACCCGGGCGGTTAGCCCGTCTGGGCGGGTCAGCGGGTCATTCCTCATGAAGCGACGTTTCTGGCTGGGCCGCATCGTTTCGTCTGGGAAAAGGCGAGAAGTAGAGCAGGGGTCTGAAAAGTGGGGGAAAAAACCTACATGCCTAGTTGCCTACCACCTCTATCGTCGTCTCGGCCTTCCTTCCATTTCGCGCAGCTTTTCTACCGCTCCCGCAGCCGCTCGATCGCAGGGAGTGAGATGCGATTCCCGGCGATATTGAGATGAATTGGACGGAAGAAGGTAGAAGAGAAGGGAAGGAGGTAACGCAGAACAAAGAGAGAGGGAGATAGAAAGGAAAAGGGGGGAAATTGTTTTCAATAAAAGTTGTCGTTTTATAGTGTGAGGAGGGCCATTTATATCCAGCAGTGGCGAATTACCACTTGATCCCTCTACTTTCTATTGTATACAATCAATTCTGGTTTCCATCTTCTAAGAATTTCATATTGGTTTCTTTTGTTGGAGTTTAAGTAGTGATGCATTTTTGTAGTGTTGAATTCAGGATAAGTATAATATAATGATTCTTTTCATATTTTCGGGTTAATCCGGGTTAAATCGGGTTAAAACGGGTGACCAATTAACCCATGACCCACTAGCTTGACCAAGTCCGGGTCGACCCACGGATTGACAACCTTGATATTATATATACATATTTAATACTTTTGCATCACCAAATCAAGCTTCCTCCCTTTTAGGCTCATAAAAATTAAAGCTCAATATTGTTCCCATACTATATATTTGTATTTGTGGAGTGTAGACCATAACATATGGAAGCCTAATTTAGATATAAACTCATATATTGTGTTAGATTAGATAAAACTTGAAAGGAATTTCTTTTTCAGCCTATGACAAGAGACAAATTCAATTCATTAACTCCATAGCATTAGATATATTTTTGTTAGGCGGATACTTCTATTGACTATAAGATAATTGTATTAGTTGCATGTATTTATGTTACAGGTTAACTATTATTATGTGTTGATTATTATATTTTATTCATTATATAAACTGGGAATTGATGCATTAATCAAAATTTTATCTCACTTAATGATAATGTGATGTTATATTGGTTAATCTGGTTAATCATTTAACCAAACCGATTAAACTTTAGTTTGGTTAATTTGGTTGTTGTATTAGTTTGGATGGTTTGGTAATGATATTGTATCCCATGGTTAATAGAATTTAGTCTTCTTTGGTATGGTAATTACCATGGTACCATTTAAGCATCCCTACTGAATGGAGGGTAGGGTGCACTCCCGTCTCCGTAAGGGCCCTTCCAATTCGCGGATCTCCTGTTGTCCACCCTTGCCATCTTCTAGTCGGGTCGATTTAGATCTAACCCAATTTTGGTTTGGCCAGTTTTGGTTTGGCAATTTCTGATTTGACCGGTCCGATTCGGGTCTCGTCCAGCGGTTCGAGTCTCTTGCTTGGCCCAACCCAACCCTCTTGGGTCGTCGTAGTGGGCAGCAATTCATCCTCGTCATGTGACCCAAATGAAACATGGCCCACATAATTTTAGGATCCTCTTGTTAGGTTAGCCATCATGCCACCCGCCACTACTGGGCTCCCCATCGATGTCGCCTCTGGATTCACCCGGTCATCGTCGCCTCCAAGTCGGAGGAACCACCACACCTCGCGATGCCCTGTCGGCTCCGCAGACTTCATCCTCTTCTCACCCACCGCCTCCGCGGCCTCTGTAGCGGACATCAACTTGGCCAATTGTTCCTTGATGGTTGCGACGCCTACGACAGGCAAGCCAGTGCCTTCTGGTGCTTCTTTGAATCTGCCTGCAACAGCTTCATACCATCCTCCAATCACACATGAGCCCCTACCTGCCTCTTTACTGTCATCTTCAATTTGTCTAGGTATGTTTCGTCCTCCACGGCTCTGTCCACCTCCTTCCCTTGTGAAGAGGAACTTTTCTCCGGTGCTGTCATCCCCTATGCCACCAGCGCCTTCTCTGCCGCCATCTTTGACTTGGTTATTGTCATTGATCAATTGTGATAGTCTCTGGTCTATAGCCGTGACAGACTCGATCTCAGAATCAGACTCTGATACCAATTGTTAGAAACCAGGTTCTAGGAGATCCCGGATTCGTGTGGGTGATGGGGAAATTAACTAGATCAATTATGGGATTGATCTAATTAGAGTTTAGAGAAGTGATGGAAAATGGGAATTGAGTAATATTAGGAAGGAAGAAGAAGCAAAGCTACGGCAGCGGGGGAAGATTAGGGTTTGATGATTTCTTGTTTTGTAATTGCTTAATGAGTAATCTCAATAATTACCGTATATATATTCTCGAATAATCCCTTTTATACGACTTAATGAAATACTCCTCAATTATTCCCCCCTCCCCCCAAATATCATAATCCCTTAACCTCATAAAACAACTAAAAAATGGCAAATAAATCTAAATGATAAACAATAGTAAATATCTTAGTTTGTAACAAATGTTATCACTCTATCTCCTTTGTCAATAAGTTTGCTGATTGACCTCTGAATCCCACCATGAAGATCTCATATGAGGAACGTCACGAAAGAAAACCTATATGGATATGACCCGCGGGAAACATCATAATCATTTGAGGGAGAAAAAAAAAACTAGTACCCTAAGCAAGACCCACTTTGTTAAATGGCTTGTACAAAATTTATTTGAGCTCGAAAAGACATGGGGCAATTTTCCCACCACTTTCTTTCCCAACCAAGCAAATTAGACATACAAAAACTAACTCACAACTTCCCCCCGCTTTGCCTACTCGATCACCCAAATCTAACACTCCTTTTCCTTCACTATAAATATATGCATCCCATTTGCCCTTATATAACTCACCTTCCATTAGTAACTCACAACAGTATCCCAAACTTGGCCTATATCATCTTTCTCCAAAAACGACCAATATTTCCCTTTTTCTTACCTTTTCTTTCTAATCCTTCAATCTTAGTTTCATCAGCTTACACCCTATATTATCGGGAATATTACTATGGTAACATGGGTGGAGGTAGTAGTGTTAGTGGTGTTGTTTTTGGCTGCGTCTGGAAGAGGAGCCGTTCGCGATGATATCGTCCTAAAGCACTGTGATTTAACAAGGTATCCTGAACGATGTCGGCAGGTGCTGATGGGATTCAACGAGACCAACCTCGTTGTGGATGAGCGTCGAGATCAGGCTAACAGTGCTGTCGCTGTGCTGTCGGCTCTCCTTCGCAGAACCATTTCAGAAACCAACAACTTGCCATCTTCACACTTCACCGTTCTTGATTCCGGCTTGGAAATCAGCCAAGCTCGCCGTGCTCAAGCAGCCTCAGGTAATTAATTGCCAACCGCTAGCTAGCTATAATTTGTATTATTGCTGTACATACTGTACGATAATCCGTTTTCACTTATCTTAATTGGACTAGGTTTCACTTCTTCTCTTCTTCTTAAATTAGAGGGGAAAAGTATTACGTACGTACTTCCCTTTTTACTTGCTTTACGCTATTAGCAAACAACTGAGAAATCAAAAGTTGTTCAACTCCAAATAGAATGTGCATGGTTCACTTTCTATAAACAATATGTATGGGTTCTGTCATAGGCTCATCGCATTTAGTAACCGATGTATTTGTTATACCAAAAAAGTAGGGCAACATTCCCAGTGCTAAATAATTGTAACACTAGGAGAGATTTATAAGTAAGAAATCAATTTTAACCCATAAGATATATTATTATTTTTTGGATAAAATGGAGTTGTGAGAACTCTAAATTTAAACATGCTCGGCATGGAACAGTATAAATATGAGTGACCTCTCGAAAAGTCGCTATGGTGCATATAAAAACAAAATTGTGCGAGAGTAAACTAAAAACTGACAATATCATGATTCAGAAAACATCAGAAGGTATATAATTAATAGTGTGCTTGATTCCACGACATTCCTACCAAAAAGCTTTTTTTTTTTTTTTGCCCTTCCCTTTTATTATTGTAATAAAGTTGAGTAAGTTTCCCTATTTATTGAAAAATCAAAATTATATTTGGATGGTGGGAATTTTACCTATAACATACTGTTTGGTATAAATGAATTTCATAAGTTTTGAGGAGTTCATTTTGAAATGAAATAGTTTTGTATTTGGTATAAAAAAGAATTCATTTTCAATTCTAAATTTTGAATTCTATGGAATTGGAACTAGTTATAACAATTCCGAGGAATTGAGATGGAATTTCCAAATGAATTCCACAAGTATTTATTAATTATAATAGAATGACATAAATACCTTCTTTTATTAACTAAATTACTTATACATATGACATACCAAACACAAGAATTCATTTGAATATAACATATCAAATATAGGATTTCATTTGACAATGAATTATACACGATAATTCATTATCCAATCAAATGAATTCTCGATTCGTTTGGTACCAAACTATTTGTAAGGAGAGTTGGAAAGGTTAGCATAAATAAATTTTGGTAGACAAATAAATTCCATAGTATTATTATTTCGCTCTCTCACGTACGTACGTAGCCGCAGTTAATTAATTTTTTTTATAAAGTATGTTAAAATTTTGTTTCTATTCTACTTACATAACATTATTATTTTCTTTTTTGTCCATGACGTACGTAGAGTATTGCAAGGAGCTGACGGGGATGTCTCTACAAAGGCTGAATCAGTCGCTGTCGGCTCTCCAGAACTCTCCAACCAAACGCAAACACGACATCCAGACATGGCTGAGCTCCGTCCTTACTTTCCACGAAGCCTGCGCAGATTCCATCCGCCACCACAGTCTCTCCGCCGCCGACGTGGCATCTGATCACATCTCCGGCAAGATGAACTACCTCTCCCAGTTAACCAGCAACGCCCTCTCACTCGCCAACCGAATCACCAGTACGGATAAAAAAAGCAGGGGACACGTGGCGGGATTTCCGCAGTGGGTGTCGATGAAGAACAGGAAGCTGCTGCAGGGTGGCGGCGGCGGCGGCGGTGTTAGGGCGGACGCGGTGGTGGCGAAGGACGGGACGGGGAACTACGAGACGATCTCGGCGGCCATAGCGGCGGCTTCGGGGCGGAGCCGGTTCGTGATATACGTGAAGGCGGGGATTTACGAGGAGAAAATCCGCACCAACAAAGATGAGATCACTCTGGTGGGAGATGGTAAATATGCTACTGTTATTGTCGGCGGCGATAGTGTCAATGGCGGCTCCACCATGCCTGGCTCTGCCACATTCAGTGAGTACTCTATCTCTTCCTCTCTCAAAACTCAAAAGGTTTACGTTTCTAGATCACGAAAATGCTGTTACGTACATTAACAGCAAATGGTAAAGTCGATCCCTACAACGTAACTAGAGTGTTTTGTCACCACATTTACTTTTGATTACTTATTCTCTCTAGCTTTTTGGTCCGTGCTATATTTTGCTAGCTTATTCATTTCTCGTTAGGCGGTCAATTTTGTGACCACTCGAAAGTAAGAACAGTCTGTATGCCTTGTTATCTGTGGTGCTGAACTTAATGAGAACGATGGGTCATCAAAATGAGTAGACTTCTAGACTATGTAGTTTTCCCCTAAGAAAGGAACTTTGTCCTTTTTTAAACAATTTCGATCTATTTTATTTTAACGATGGTGTACATGTGCACTTTTTTTGTAATTATCTGGCCTGACTATTATTATCTTATATTTTAACAATAATATTGTAAATAATTTAACTACATTTTGTATAGGGGGAGGCGGCGGGCCTATAAATAATAGCCCAGGGCATTAGTGGCAGCGTTAAGTCACTGTTTAACAACTGTAATTGGGCCCACTTCCCACATTAATTTGACATAATCTCTCTCTATCACTGTTTAACAAACTAAAACAAATAATTAATTATAATTAATTTATTGTTCATAATTGCCTTCCATCCATCTGCTTTTACCAGCAATCACAGGCGACGGATTCATCGCAAGAGACATCGGCTTCCAAAACACGGCGGGGCCCGGCGGAGAACAGGCGGTGGCACTCTACGCCGCATCCGACCGCTCCGTCTTCTACCGGTGCAGCATCACCGGCCACCAGGACACCCTCTACGCCCTCGCCCTCCGCCAGTTCTACCGCGAGTGCGACGTCTCCGGCACCATCGACTTCATCTTCGGCAACGCCGCCGCCGTCTTCCAGAGCTGCAGCCTCCTCCTCCGCCGGCCCCGGCCGGGGAACTCCGTCGTCGTCTTCGCCAACGGCAGGACGGACCCGGGCCAGACGACCGGGTTCTCGCTCCAGGCCAGCCGGATCTCGGCCGGGCCGGATCTGGGCGGGTTCGAGTGCTACTTGGGCCGGCCCTGGAAGCAGTACTCGAGGGCGGTGGTGATGGAGTCCAGCATCGACGGCACCGTTTCGTCCAAGGGCTGGGCCGAGTGGCCCGGTCAAGGGTCGTACTCCAAAACGCTCTACTTCGGAGAGTTCTCGAACAGCGGGCCCGGTGCGGGCACCTCGGGCCGGGTCAGGTGGGCCGGATTTCATGTGATGGGCCCTCAGGAAGCTGCCAAATTTACGGTCGCCAATTTCATTGCCGGGAGCTCCTGGTTGCCTTCAACTGGGGTGACTTTCGTTGCGGGACTCTAGTAAATGCATATTTGATCCAAAGCTAAAATTGGCGATAAATAATTCAACTAATGTTCCACGTAAATAAATTGACCATCTAGATCTCGCTCAAAGAACTACACTACCGCAAGGAGGAGGAGGAAGGTGCAGCAGGGTGCTCTGGAACACAATAAATATTATGATCTCCCTCTTATTTTAAATCCGAATTTGATGTATGAGATAGGTACATAATTGATGTACTATCCACTTTGCTTCAATTTGTATAGTTTGTAAAATCTTTATATAACAAAATTACGGGGAAAACAAAATCTTTACATAATTTATGTTTTTTTTTATCTTTGTAGTTTGTTCTTGTATTTTTCTAACTTCCTCCGAAATTTTCGGGAACAGATCAGGTTAGTAACTCTATGGTCAGTAACCATGAGTAACCCGTCCACATCTGCATGACATCAGCATCCCTCTCTCCTGGAAAGTCTTTTATATTTTCCCCTTTAATCTTTAACGGATGATTTCTCTCTCGTTTTAAGTTGAAATTTAAATTTTTTTTGCACAGATAAAGCAGATTAAATGTCCTCTTTAAAATGATATCCACTTTGATATATTTTTAGTACAAAAAAAAATTTTGAATAATTTTTTACCAATCATTACCATATGGTATGCTCTTATTTAATACCATATGGTAAGAAAGCGTACCATGATGGTATGAACTTACCAATATGGTAAGAAGCTTGAATACATGATAGTAGGAGTATACTAAGTGTCATTTACGACTATCATCATTGTTTACTACAAGTTACCACTCACATACCATAGTGGTAAAGTATGGTAATTTTTGGTGCAGTATTTTTTTCACCCAGAAATTTATAGATCAAATAGATCATGATGAACTCGTTCCTTCTGAGCAAACGTTTAAAAAACGACTTAAAAACGAAGAAGTTACCATATGGTATGTAGTTGGTAAAAAAAAAGTTTCTCGAAATATCTTGAAAATTGATCTCATTTTGTAGAGCACAACGAACTCGTTCCATCTGTGCAAAAAAAAATTGAAATCCAAGTTAGAACGAAGAAGATAAGAGCCGATTAAGAAAACTAAGGAAAATAAAATCCCTTTAATTGACAACCCTTAGATCTGGATTTTCTGTACCCACTTAGATATAAAGGTCCATATTTAATTACTCATAGGTCTATCCTAAGCCGAAATTTTCTATGTCGTGTAATAGTTTGCGCCTCTTTTCCCATTACAAGGCCGCCTTAGAAAATCAACCTTCTGGTATCTCTTGACACTACGGTTTTATTGTTGGGGATTTTAGCTGGGTAAGTAGAAGATTTCAATTCTGATATCAATCAATGGCGAATAGAATGGAGTTCAATAAATGGAGTTGCATAAGGAGGATTAGAAATTGAAATTTTGATTGAAACATATGTCTCTTGAGATTGAAGATAGAGTGGGAAAATATTTGGTTGTACAATAGAGAGCGGTGGCTATTGGATCTTTGGGTTTATTTTTTTGCAGCTATCACAACATATTTCTATCTTAAAAAGGCTAATACCACTAGGAAACCCGAACTATCAAGAATGTGTCATTTGTGTCCTAAAGTATCCAATATGAAATTTGTGTCCCAACCTATTATAGTATTGTGTCATTTATGTCCCAACCTATTATAGTTTTGTGTCATTTATAGTTTTGTGTCATTTATGTCCTAACCCGAACTATTAAGAATGTGTCATTTGTTAAATACTAACGGTCAACTCTAACGGAAAAATAGTTTAGGACACAAACGTCATATTGGATACTTTAGGACACAAATGACACATTCTTAATAGTTCGGGTTTCCTAGTGGTATTAGGCTATTAGCCCATCTTAAAACAATGAATCATTGATTGATTTACCGATGTAGGTCGATTCTTTATTCAACCTACTGGAACTTATAAATAAGGAGTGTCTAATTTTGCGTCTTATTACTTTGACCGAGTCTATTAGTATATTGGAGGTAACCCTAATTTTATCGTTTGTTCTCAAGTTTCTATGGTCCACCCTTAGATAAGTTGTTGGTATATAGTTGATTTGAATCAACAACTCTCCAATTTTTTGTTTTTATTAGTGACATATTTTCCTAAAAGGAGAGCATTGAACCCCTTATTTAGTCTATATAAAAAAAAAAAACCTTATGTAGGATTGTGTGGGAGTTCCAGTTAGTATACTCTTTCTTTCTTGACAATCAACTAACCAATAGCATTTTAACGGGGCTTAATTATCACTATAAAAATGGGATCAACGATACTCTTTCTTTCTTTTCAGAATGTTCGACCAATATATTCTTTCTTTATGTATCATTTCGATCGAAGGATTGCCAATAAAATTAAACACAGGCGTATAGCGTATGTCTGACGTACGCTAGCCTGTGCGAACACATGTATATATATATGGCAAAGGCTAGCCCACGTCAGGCATACACTATACGCTTGTGTTCGCACTTGGTTTTTGCACTTCAATATATTCCGTTGAATCAGAACCGTCGCTTATTATTTTTTAGATTAAATGAATCTTGTGAATTGGGTTAGAGAATAAGGGATTGGGGTTCACCCATTAGAGGTTAGGGTACAGTATCATGCCACAAACTCTGGTTAATTCTTTCTCTAAATAGTATATATATACACATATATATAGTTCAGGCTAGCGTACGTCAATTGTACATTGTACGCCCGTCGAGTTTTACTATTTAGAGCACGAATTAACGACCCTAACCTCTAATGGGTGAACCCTAGTCCCTAATTCTCTAACCCAAGCCACAAGATTCATTTAATCTAAAAAATAATAAGGTTCTGATTCAATGAAATATGTTGAAGTGCAAAAACCAAGTGTGAACGCAACCATACAGTGTACGCTTGACGTACGCTAGCCTTTGCCTGACGTACGTTAGCCTTTGTCATATATTATATATAATCAAGGGCTAATAACACTAGGAAACTCAAACTATCAAGAATGTGTCATTTGTGTCCTAAAGTATCCAATATGACATTTGTGTCCTGACGTATGATAGTTGTGTGTCATTTACGTCCAGACAATTTCATTGACCGTTATAGATAACGGTTGACCAAACAGTCAACCATAAAATTAGGGATGGCAATGGGTCGGGTTGGGGCGGGTTTTGCCAAACCCGAAACCAAACCCGTGGGTTTATTCGTAAAAAAACCCGGGGTAAACCCCGGCGGGTTTGAAAAACTGAAACCCAACATGGGTACCCGTGGGTTTTGTGGACCATGATGAAGAGAGCGGTGACGATCGGTCCTGAACTCCTCCTTCTCGACCTCGTCAGGAGACTCGACGACCTCGCTACGGCAGCACTTCAAGCAGACGACCCCGACGAAGTTAACGTCGAGGGAGGGATCGAGAATCTAGTCAGGTGTGGATCTGAGATTGCCGGCGAGGAGAGTTGCGAGCAGGTTGAACGGCGGTCGGAGGCAGAGACAACTTCCACAATCGGAGGCGGAGCAGGGGGATGGCCGTGCGGGACGGGAGTCGTCTGGGACTTAGAGAGTGCCGGAGCAAGGGGAATTGCAGGCAGAAGGAGTGAAAGGAAGCTGTCGGCGAGTCTTGGAGGCACTGCGCGAAGGTTTGAGGGAGGGAAGGTGAGTCGGCGAGGCCAGAGTCTCACGATTCTGATTTCACAGAGAGAGAGGGAACGTGCGGTGGGTCTGGGAGTGGGGGAGGGAATTGGGAAATAATGAATATATATTAGGGTTAGGGTGGACTTCACTTAGGTTTATAAGGTGTGGCCGGGTATCCACGGGCCGGGTACCTCCAAACCCGAACCCGTTCAACAAGGCACCGGGTTTAAACCCGAACCCGGCCCGAACCCAGTCAACACGCTTTGATCGGGCTGGGTCGGGCCGGGTACCCACGGGTCCGGGTTTCATTGACCGTTATTTTTTATTTTAATTGTTAATTTTAATTTAAAAATAGCAAACTGATGTGACAGCTAACTATTTTTTATTTAATATTTCTGCTTTGATTGTATCAGTACATCGAGAAGCTACAACTAGAGTGTAGGGCTCATCGATGAAATATTAGAAAAGAACTAATGAATAGAATAGTATTTTTTTTTTTTCCAAGTAAGAGCGAGATACAATAGTTCAACCTCTACCCGAACCCCAAAAAAGACTAACAAAGCAACCACCCTACAAAATCAAAGGACGCTATCTCTACAGGGGACAGCAACAGGGCTTGTCTTGCCACTCTATGGGCAGCCCAGTTGGCAGTCCTCGGAACCGCACTAAAAACAAAACACGAGGAACAGGACCTCACCAGCTGAACACAATCACGAAGCAAGGGCCCACCCACCGAATCTTCACAGCATCTCCCATCAAGTTGTCGAATGACTACTTCGCAATCTCCTTCAATGATGACGCGGGGAAGCCTACGAGAGATGGCAAGAGAGATGGCGTCCCTTGCAGCCAAAAGTTCAGCCAGATAAGGATTGGAAACTCCAGGGTGAAGGAACCCCAAGGCCAAAAAGACTTGCCCATCTGATCCTCGAGCAACGAGTCCTGACGAGCAATCCGGGGCACGAACAGCGGCATCGAAATTAACCTTGATAAAACCATCTGGGGGGCCAATCCAACTGTCAAGGCGAGGCGACGGTTGAGGGCGGGGCAGAGAGGCTAGGGGCTGGGAGGAGAATGAGGAGAATTCTTGGACTTGGAAGAAGAATTGACGGGCAAGCGAAGAGGCAAGTGGTTGAGTGAATTCAAAGACCACTTTATTTCTAGATTTCCAAATTCTCCAAAGAAGGCAAATACAGGGGAGATAGTGGATTTGGAAGTTCTCCGAGTTCATAACATGTCGCCACCAAATACCGAAGTTCTCAGTTGGGGCGGAAATAAAACACAAGAACACTTTTGATATTATGTCAAAAATTAATAAGTGTGTAATTGAAAAAATTGAATTGAATTGAATTCTAAACGTCTGCCAAATATGATTTTGACTTCAATTCATTTTATTTTTAAAAATTTGAATATGACATTCCAAACATAATAATTCATTTGACAATAAATTCTACAAGTAATTCACTTTAAAATTAAATAAATTCTCGATTCGTATCAAAGGCTTGTATTAATTATCTGGCTGTAAGTGATTGAACTTTCCCTTATCAAATTAAACAAGTGCTTATGTGGGAAGAGATTGCTTTTGAATTGCCATAATATATAGGGGTCGTTTGCTTCAAGGATTTGGTACATGGATTTGGTACCGAAAAACCAACTATCAAGGATTTATGTACAATCCGTTGTTTGCTTGCACCTTTTTTGGAGACCAAATCCGTGGGGCCCACGGATTTTAAGGGTCCAAATCCGTGGACCCCACGGACTTATAAATCCCACATGTTGATGTGGGATTTGGAATATGGCATAAATCCTTGATGAGATTTTACCCATATACCCTCATGCACTTTTAATATTCCAAGGTTGCCCTCAAATTTAACTATTATATATTATAATTAACAATAAATGAATAATATAAACGTTCAATTAATGTGCAAACATGAGTTAGATTTTTTATATCATTTCTTGTGTTCTAGTTTTCTTTGACCTTTTCATGGAACGTGTAATTCTTTGTTCTCCCGATTCTAATATATGTTGTTATATGTCACTTTTGAAAAGGAGGACAAAGAATTGGTAATTGATTATGTTACGTTATTATTGTCCATGTGGCAACATTATGCTTATTAGTATGTATTGTCCTTGTTTTGTGTACATATCATAAACATGTCAAACATATAGAAAATGATAGTAAGGTAATTTTGAAATTTTGTCCTTATTTTGTGTACATATCATAAACATGTCAAACATATAGAAAAGGGCAGTAATGTAATTTCTGACTTCAATTAGTAAATCCCACACCTTTAAATCCATGATAAAAACATCCCAACAAACAAAGGATTGTTACAAATCCATTATGCCTCAAATCCTTGATAAATCCTTGGATTTTTAAATTACAAAACCCTCATTTTTAAATCCATGAAGCAAACGACCCAATAGTATAGATTCTTCCCATGTACTGGACTAAAAATAAATGTGATTTAAGTGACCAATTAACCCAAATATAATCATAAGAAAAACGAAAACCCCCCAACCAATGTGGTCTATTAAGTTTGCAGCTGTTCTTATCCAAGCCCAATTACCGGTTCTGTTGTTAACCTGATCGCAGCCTAAAACTTGCCCTAAATCCCCACCTAGCCTTCCACGACAAGCTTCCACAGACCACACACACCACAATTACAAACACCGTTCCGAGAGCACCGGCTCAGTGAGTCATTCTACAACAAACCCCCAAATTTTGGCGCCCCCAAAACTCGTTTTGAACACATCCACCTTCTCCCGCTCTCTTTCTCTCTCATCTCAAGTAAATTCCAGGCGATAATGGAGCAGCAGCAGCAAAGGAACCCGAACTTGGCGCAAGAACAGCAACACGAGGATAATGGCCCCATCCCCGTCGAGCAGCTTCAGGTATCTCAGCAGCCATCTCCAGTCTTCATGTGTTTCCATTAGTTCTTATCTTCCCCAATTTTCTTGGTTAGATCTACTTCTCTCGTATCGTTTCAACTTTGTCATCTGAGGAGGTCGGGGTTCGCTGATTCAATCAGATAGATTCTACAGCTTCGTTGTCCGTTGGGATGGACAAAGGTTCCATTTTTGGTTGGATTAATCTTGACCCACTTCTGATTTTGCGTCTAAATGTGGTTATTTTTGTTGGGTTAGGTGAAATTTAGTTATCAGGAACGAACACTTGTACTTGGTTTCTCCTTTTCTTTTCCTATGCCGATCTTGCTCCAAAATGGGTATTTGGGTTGTGAAAGATGGATGAATCTGTGGTAGATTTAGGGTTTTACTAAATGGGGTTCCTTGAATTTTCTTCAGGAATCAGGTATAGCTTCCATTGATGTGAAGAAGCTAAAAACTGCCGGTTTCTGTACAGTCGAGTCAATTGCATACTCCCCTAGAAAAGAACTACTGCAAATTAAAGGAATCAGTGAAGCTAAAGTTGACAAAATCATTGAAGCAGGCATGTTCCACTTGGCTGTGCCTTCCCTTTTCCTTTTTTTGGTTGTGCAATTGAGAGTTTCATTCACATTAACAAAAAACTGATGGATGTAACTTGTTTTTGTTTGTCATATTCAGTGTCCAATTTGGTCCCGCTTGGTTTTACGAGTGCCAGCGAACTTCATGTCCAGAAGTTGAACCTAGTTCAGATCACATCTGGGTCAAGAGAACTAGACAAGATCTTGGAAGGCAAGTCATTTTTTTCTAACCACTCATAAGACCCTGACCACAAAAGAATGAGCTTTCTTTGGAACACTGTAAACAAAAGTTCTCTGCCTTGTGTGATCAATTTGGTATCTCGGTTGATTTGATTAGATTTTTTCTTTCAGGTGGCATTGAGACAGGATCCATCACTGAGTTGTATGGTGAATTTCGCTCTGGAAAGACTCAGCTCTGCCACACGCTTTGTGTTACCTGCCAAGTACGAGCTTTCCTGCGTGTACCTCTTTTCTTCTGCATTTGTTTAAGGGATTAATATGATTTGCTGATACTGAAATCATAAAGCATCGGTTGGACTACTCCACTACTGAACCTGATGGTACTGTTTAACCGACAATTCACTAGCCAGTTCTCTGACGAGTTCTATAACCCATGATGAATATAAGTAGGAATTTTCATTGAAACTGTGATGTTTTCAATCAGTTTCTCATGTAAAAACAGGAATTTCAAAACTATGGTGTATTTATCTTTCTCTCACACATATTTTCATGTCAACAATGTCAGCTTCCATTTGATCAAGGGGGTGGCGAAGGAAAGGCCATGTACATTGATGCTGAAGGCACATTCCGGCCCCAGAGACTGCTTCAGATAGCAGAGAGGTATTATCAAGGTTCCTTACTGGAAGATACTATTGTCTCGTTCATCCCGTATACTGTAGATGACTCACACATAGCTTCACATATCATACCAAATCAATCTACATTTCCATCTCCATCTGAAATTTGAACCCTAGATATAGGAGACAAAAGTGCATAGTCGTTTGTCATTCGTCTTCGTCACACGTCACTCATCAGCTTTCATGAATCATCTCTAGACTCCCAGTAAATTCCTCAAGAAACGGAACTTAAAATATGTAGTGGAATTGAGTAGGAATGAGTTGGAGAAGTACTTAATTGAAATAGTTGAAGAGGACACTGAAGACATTAACATCTTAAACTGGTGGAAGATGAACCACTCTAGATTTCCAGTCTTGGCTTGTATGGCTAGGGATGTTCTCGCTAATACTCATCTCCACAGTGCTTTATGAATATGCTTTAAGCACTGGTGGTAGAGTTTTTTATGATTATAGGAGTGCTATAACTCCAAGTAAAGTTATGTTATATTGGTTAAATCAATTAACCAAACCGTTTAAACTTTGGTTGGTTAATTTGGATCCTATGTTAATTTGGTTGGTGTGGTTAAGTTATTTTGTTCCATGATTAATAGACTTTAGACTTGAATGGTTTCGTTAAAACCATGAGTAACCATTTGAGTATCCCTAGTAGAAATACTAATTGTCATAGTGCAGGTATGGACTGAATGGTGCTGATGTCTTGGAAAATGTGGCATATGCACGAGCTTATAACACCGATCACCAGTCACAGCTTTTGATTCAAGCAGCTTCCATGATGGTGGAAAGTAGGTATGACTTGGGACTGCCATCCGTACGCACTTGGAGTTTAGCCTTTCAACATCACTTAAAATGTTTGTTCAGCACCTCAAGCAATTAGCGCCTAGTTACTTAGAAACTGAGTAACTTGGACGATTCAGTAGAATTTATCTTATGCCTGGGGTGATTGGTGTCAATAGTTACAAATGACTTTTGTGATTCTACAGATTTGCTGTTCTGATAGTAGACAGTGCTACAGCATTGTACAGAACGGATTTCTCTGGCAGAGGTGAATTGTCTGCTCGCCAAATGCATCTTGCCAAGTTCCTCAGGAGTCTTCAGAAGATGGCTGATGAGGTAGCATAAACTCTGCAGTCGGAAATTGCATTTCGTATTAAGTACATTGCAGGCATACAGATTGAACTGATTACGCCGAGGATGTTTGCTGTGCGTTTCTGTGATATTTTTGGGTTGGGTTGCAGTTTCAGGTAGCTGTGGTGATTACAAACCAAGTAGTTGCACAGGTAGATGGCTCTGCTATGTTTGCTGGTCCTCAAATCAAGCCTATAGGTGGTAACATCATGGCACATGCTTCTACAACTAGGTTGCTGCCCTGGCCCCTCATTTTGCACACTTTCCGTTTTGGCTATCGCCATTTTCAGGATTCACCCACAGTAGAAGCAATCTCATTAACACCAGTTGTGTGTTCTTTAATGCTTATTCCCAGGCTTGCGCTTCGGAAGGGAAGAGGAGAAGAACGCATCTGTAAAGTGATAAGCTCTCCTTGTTTAGCAGAAGCTGAAGCACGGTTTCAGATCTCCCCTGAAGGTGTAGCTGATGTTAAGGATTGAAATATGTCCACCAGCTTAGGAAGCAGCTTGCCTTGTGAAAATACTAATGTCTCAGTTTGATGTCGTTTCTGTCGATTTCATTTCATTGATGAGGCTAATACTAATAGGTTACAACTACACAGATCGGGTGCTGAAGTCATAACCAATGGGTTGAGGCGTTGAGCCGTTAATAATCTTCATCTAACTTCAGATCGACAAAGATAAGCAAACAATTAGTAATATATGCAGTTCACAAGAACAAAATTGATTAAAAAATGCAATTATAGAACTCTTCCTTCACTGTTATGTTGTAATAGTAATACTCGTATATAGCTGCCAAAATACAACTCTACTCGGTTAACTCGTTTGGTACATATGACATGTGATCTGCCCGTAACTCGAGTTTACTAAAAATTAATGACTTGTAATCCGCCCGATCTACAACTCGGTTGATCCATGCCCATACAAGATTATGTTGGCAAAATCAGATATGGTGGGAGTGGAGCAGTAAAAACCAGGGTTCAAGAAGGCACGCCTAGACTCAATTAGGCGCTAGGCGGTGGAGGATCGCCTTGACTTGGCCATAGGCGTTGTAAAAGGCGCTGGTAGCGCTTAGTAGGTAGGAATAGCGCTTAGTTTGCGCCTAGTGGAGAGAAGGCGTGTCTGGGCGTTCTTGGGCGAGTTTAGGCGGTTAAACCCAATACTCTTTGTTTTGTCCTAGAAAATTAGAAAATTGCCTCTTGCCCTAGAAAATCAGAAACACGGGAAGGGGATGACCATGCTATGTATGTATTCGTAGATGAAGATGAGGAATCCTATTGTGAACCCTCGAGTACTGTTACAGATGCAATGGCGGGTGAACAGAGTGAGCTTCTCAGGAGTACACGAGTGAGAGAGCTCCATGATGAAGAATTAGAGTCTGAAGAGGAGGAAGAGGAGGAGGATGGTGAGGAGATTGCTTTTGAGGATGATGAAGATGAAGTGGTGGCTGGACGGACCTACTTGGATGATGAAGAATGAACATTTTGCTATGAACTTATTGACTATTGTTTAGTATTTCGACATTTTATGAACTTGTGATTCTAGGAAGTGGTCACTATTTGCTTGTTATTAGTTATGTTAAGTGTTTACTGTCAAGAACTAGGCATTGCTAATTTTATATGCACTTGGATTATATGAATTATTCCAGAAAACAGGAACTATTTGAGAACTTTTTCCATTTATGCTCTGAACGCCTAGGCGCGCCTAGGCTACGCCTAATCAGGCAAAGCGCAAGTCAGGAGCCGAGCGCCTGCCTTACGCCTAGCGCCTTTTAGAACCTTGGTAAAAACTAGCATCGATGCTCTGTTTTAAAGATTAAATTTCCTTTATTTATGAACGAATCCATTCCTTTCTCGACTAGGGATGGCAGCAGGTCAGGTTTGGTTGGGGACTGATAGTGCATATTCGTTACCTTACTCAAAGTAGTTTGGGTTTTATTCATACTCATACGAACATAAAAATCGGGTACAAAAATTAGAACTATACTCATATATGTTCGGGTTTTGGGTATTCACGGTTATCCATGGATAATAATTTCTATTTATAACTCAAATCAACATGTTAACATTCACACGTATACTACCATTATATAAGTGAAAAGTACGACAATAAAACACTAGAATGAAAAATAATAATTAAAACAGAACACGATCTCATGAAAAAATTATATTTCTATGCTAAATATCAATATTGTGAGCAAAATAATAAAAAGTTTTAGATAAAATACATATACATGTTTATAATCGATCGGGTTCGAGTTGGATAGTGCAAAACCCACGCCCACCCATTATCTGGAATATACAGGTTGATATTTTACCTGTACCCAGTGAAAATCCTTCGCGTTCGGGTGTTACCCTACCTAATTAGATCGGATTCGGACGAATATCCACGGTTCCGGATATTTTTGCCATCTCTACTCTCGACCATCATTTTCACACCCTCAATCTCATCTCTCATCTCTTTCCCACTACTTATGATTCCACTATTTCTTAAACTTGGAACAATGAGGAGGGATAGAACATCAGAGAGAAAATTTATTGTGCTGGCGTCCCCTCTAAATTGGAGAAAAGGTGTTCGGTTGTCCATTTATACAACTTTAAAACAGTGAGGAGGGGAAAAAATAGAGAAAAAATTTATTGTGTCAGCCTCCCCTCCAAATTGGAGAGAAATGGTGTTCGGTTGTCCATTTCTAAAACTTAAAACAATGAGTAGGGATAGAAAACCGGAGAGGAAATTTATTGTGCTGACCTCCCCTCCAAATAGGAGAGAAAAGGTGTTCGGTTGTTCATTTCTTAAACTTAAAACAGTGAGGAGGGATAGAAAATCAAATAGAAAATTTATTGTGCCGCCCTCCCCTCCAAATTGGAGAGAAAAGGTGTTCAGTTGTCCATTTGTAAAATTTAAAACAATGAGGAAGGATAGAAAATATATTGTGTCGGCCTAACCTCCAAATTGGGGAGAAAAGGTGTTTGATTGCTCATTTCTGAAACTTAAAACAGTGAGAAGAGATAGAAAACGAAAAGAAAATCTATTGCACCATTTATGAAACTTGGAACAGTGAGGTGGGATAGAACACCGGAGATAAAATCGATTGTGGCGGCCTACCCATCATATGCATTTTCAAATATTTTCTTATAAAAGTTATAATTATCACATATTTACTCTTACATAATAACAACTAATATATCTATCATAATTTTCAATATATTTTTTCCCTTCTAACTTTCCTTTCGCTTTGCACCCTAAAACATCTTCCCTTACTATTTCGCTCTCTCACCAATTTTCCTTCACCTCATAATTTTCATTTTCATCCTCTCCTTCCAAAACAGAACGACTTCAAAAAGAGAACGATAATCTTGTGTCATTTCATTTCTACTTTATCACAAAACTGGAGTGGGCGAATCATATGATTTGGAAAACTAAAAAATCAAGGATTAAAAGACAAAAGAAAGATTCTATGACCGCCGCCAACTCCTTTTTTTCCCTTTTTACAAAAGACCACCACAAATGAAGAAAAAAATCGACATTTTGAAATTTACATGTACAAAGCAACAAATATAAAGAGGGTCAGCTGGCCTCAATCTATAGAAGCGCCTCCGTCGTACCGCCACCTGAAATGTTCTCTTCACATGCATCAGATTGCGACCCACTAGGAATAATAGTTGTCGGAGACCACTGATCTGGCACCATGACAAAATAAGCAGTCATGGCTTTCCTGAACCTTTTCTTGTACTGCTGAGGTGAGATCACAGTTGGTGTTGTGTTCTTCGACCCACCAAGGATTCCAGAGGCTTTTACCCAAGTCTCCAGATGCTTATCCCAAGTGTACTGCCTCATGAAATCGATAATTCCGAGTACCAGCTCGTGTTTTCCTTCATCGACCCCAACCAGTAGCGAGTAGTCCATTACATCAATTGACTGCAACAGTAGTGTAGTGTTGAACAAGAACAGAAGACATGCAGCCAAATTGCATTTACGCAGCTTTAGGCAAAGGGGTAAAAAGATAAAAAGAATACAACTTACTGCGAGAAAGGCAGTGTCGTTCCACACAGCTCTTTCGAGTAATCGCTTTGCCTTGTTCCCAACAAATATTGGAGATGTTGGCATTGCTTCAATCAAGTTTTGGTCTAGCATAACCTTGTTGCTCCCACTTGTATCTGGATTATAACGAGAACGTGAAGATCCTTTGAGGTCATAGAGTCGGGTCACATCCCGCCTGAACAGAAGATTCTCCATCACAAGGATATCCAACTTAGTTTCTTTTCCTCCTTTGACCTGCTTTGAGACCTTCAGACACAAAATTTGGTCACATGGAATATCACTTGAACAACTTTGTTGTTTTGGCAGCATGGTAGTTACAAATACAAACATTGTTTCCTTTTCAGCAACTCCCTAGTCATTCTATTGAACATACTATTAAACCAAACACAAGCAATACAACAAATTTCAAACTAAAACACACCAGCTTAGACTTGAGGGATATTCACACAAGTCTATCCATGTAAACTTATACTCCAAATCATGACAAGGTTACTTTGTTTAATAACAGAGTGGAGAAGGGGGGGCTCCTTTGTTTGCTAGATAAATGAATAGAGCAAATATATACCTGGTATATGCCAAGTATCTTCGCTAAGCATGTTGGACTTCGTGTACTAATTGATTGTGACAAGTACTTAAAATATGCTGGTCCAAACTTGATGAATGACTCCAGCTCTGTCTTCGTAACTTGCTTGATGATAAACCGATCATCCAAAGTTTTGGCAAAGAAAACATTGCTCTTGCCACCTTGGGCTCCCCATTTCTTACAACGACTTAGAGATTTTACAAAGTCTAAATCACAAGGGCAACAGATCTTCCTCAAAGCCTCGAACCTCTTGGCATAGTAACATGTAACTATATACTTCACCTTACCTAGAGATCCATCAGCATTGAAAGATACTCTGGCATGTAAATCCTTGGTGTATGAAAGTGGGTCTAAAACCTGGGGCCCTCTATAACTAGCCAATGATAGGATACTCTCATCCATAGATCCAAGACTTCGAAGGGTATCCGAAAGAGAGTCATCAACTGACTGAGAGAGTATACTTATTGAATCTAGAAGAGGGAATGGGCTTCCAGCATCTTTTGGTTTTTCAAGCTCAGACATTTGAGTATGGTAATCAGGCGAAACAAGAGCATGTGCCACAATGCTTGTAGGCTCATCATCATATATAGGCACAATTGTACCATTAACTCCAGCAGGGAGAAGCAACCTAGCACCACTTTGTCGTTCCATTTCCTTCAAAAGTGGAATGTAGATTGGATTGTACTCGCTCAAACTAAGATTTTGAGGAATCAAATAACTGCTACCAAATGAGCTATATGAATTTGGAGATGACATCCCTGCTTCATTTATTGACTTATGTTCATTGTGAGTGCCATTTGGTGGTGGTACATAAACAAGAGAATGAGCTCCACATATTCCAGCATTATCATCGACAACATTTTTGAAGTCTGAATTTGCTGTGACGGTACTTGTCCTAGCTAAATTAGGAAGAGAACAACCATTCAATGTTGTATGATGGTTTTTTCCAGTCCATGCTGCATCAAAAGTATCAGGCAAATTTTCTGGAATATGAAACTCACCTTCAGAATGTACCCTCCGTATGAGATTTCCCAGTTGATGGGGACCCGTTTGCTCTATTGATGAAATCTGATTCAGTTCGACATCTCTATTATTCTGATCTTTGATTCCATGATTCATATCTGGCTTAGTTTCTAAAAGGAAGGAATCACAACTACTAGAGCCTTTAGCAGGCATTGAATTGTCCAACTCTTTGAGCTTTTCAACAGAGCCAATGTGCTTCCCCTTTGTTTCCAGCACAGAATTCGTCTGCCCTTTCTGGGCAATGCACATACTTAAACTAGCTGCATGAATCAACCGTCGATCCCAAACATAGGAATGGACAAGTATCTGCCTCCTTAACCTATTAATGTCAAGGATATCAGCCACAAGTTGACCAGCGTTAGCTCCCCTCATATATGTTTTCTGTAAAGATTCCAGGCCACCAGCAACATCTATCAGTATCCAGAAGTTAACTCAAACTTATAGAAAATGATAAATCTTAATATTTCTCTGTATTTGGAGAACTTAATAGTGAGACATATAGCAATTGTTTCACTTAAAATATTATGAAAAAATAAATTACAAGCATACGTAAAAGACTAAGTCCTCAAGATTAGATGTAACTAGTGTACAACTAACAAAATCATCAATCAATGAAATATGGTGTTGCCGATCATGGAAATAACTAAAGAGAACAAAGAAATATTTGGAGGCATGGGACGTACTGCCATACACTCCTTTAAATGGTGGGGTTGCTTAGGTAAAAATAAACTACCTCAAATTCTTCCTTTTCCTTTTGTAATACTTGCTCCAACTCCAAAACACAAAGTCTTAATGATTCCTTAAAATTATAATCATGTACCCCTGCCTTTGAACTCTTTTCCAAGACATTATGAAAAGCAATGCCCACTTCAGTAAACAGAAGTTCTGCCACTTGTCGAACCTACAAGACAAATAAAAAGTCACATTATCACTAGTTTAACACCTGAAAGTCATCAACTGAGCCCCTAATGAAGTTTTACTAATCATTGCACCTCATTTTCTTCCATTCGTATCCACTCCTGACTATCGTGGTTAAATACAAGTTTTGAAGGTGGAAGAAAAACCGAGTTAACATCAATTGAAGCATATCGGAAGCAAGCAACCATTCTCCCAAAGCTGCATGCATAGAACGCAAACTACAGAGTTAAAGATGATGATGGGTATGTCTGAACTATACAAGAAAGCAGGAAAAAAACAAGACCATACACACAAGATACAAAATGTCAGCAAACCTACCCGTAGAATCGAAGACAATCTCTGTGAAGAGAGTGACCGCAACTAGCAACCCTGCTTGCAGCTGCGTGATTTGAGAAGCTAAGTTCTAAAAACTTACCAAAAGACAAGCCCCAGGCAGCGTCAGACATAACAACTCTGTGGGTAGCAGGAGGGAAGGCATTAATCCGAGGACATCGAAGACACCGATGCCACATCCATATCTTTTCATCTCTTTCCCCAGGTAAAAGAAATTCTGGTAGTTTCCTAACTGATATGGTGAGGCTGCCTTGTCGATGAGTATAACAATGAACGTGTGCTTCCGAAGGCATCTCACAAGAATGACAACGGTAGTTCTTGCACACAAAAAAATTCATAACACATCAGCCGTATCAGTACACCACTCAGATAATAATCAATAAGGAAGCAAGGCCAACTAGGGGTTATAACATATACCTGATCAAACAACTGATCTCGTAAGAAACGTCCAAGAGGCTTGTCAAAGCTCCCATAGTACTTAATCCGACATAGATGGGCCCTTTGACACACAGTTCCCTTCCAAACACATCGTGTCGATGAGGACACTAGTATACTTTGGTGGTCAGAAGGTGATGGAGGAAAATCCTCTTTGGAAGATCCAATATCCTCATTCTGATCAACACCATCTTTCTTAAAGGACCCTTGAGTAGCATAACTATTAGTTGTCATAAGGTTGTTGTTGGCATGGCTACTGACAACATCTCGTTGTGGCAATCTTGAAAATGCTGAGAAGATATCAGGGGCCAGCTTATTGACATCAGCTTCTTCACCTTGTAAAGTATCTCTAGAATCCACGCCATAGGCTCCACTAGAAATGTGATGTGATGGGAGCCGATCACTGTGAAAATCCCACATATAATCCCCAAAAGAAGATGGAGAAACTAAACTAATATGAGGTTCATTTTCATTCAACCCAAAATTTGGGCACAACATCTTAGGGGAAGGAATCTCAGACATCCAATTAAAATCCCCATCTATTTTGTTAGCAAATTTATCAATAATTGATGACGTTGTATCTAACGCGAGGCCATTCTCGCTTTTGTTTGGGGTCCCTGCCCCAGTATCTGACTTCTCAAGTCCAACTGGAGTCTGAGGACTAGCAGGATTTTCACCACCTGAAACTGTGAAACCGGGTATAGCTGATATGGACCTATCTATACTTAACTTATCGGGTAGTCCAACCGTTAATGGAGACCTCAGAGGGAGCTCTGGCAATGATGCACCCTCGTCTGCTAGAAAAGATGTCTCTACAGCTAAGTGATATGCTGCAAAAATTCCATATTGTACCACATGTTTTACCTTCTTCAACTCATCCCCACTTGCACCTTTGAGCAAAATCTAGATGGAAAAAGAAAAAGGACTTGCATATCACAATCAAGTACAAATATAACCAACAATGATAGCCCTACAGAAAGTGAGAAACAAACAGAACAAACACACTGTTTTTTTGCAGCCTTCCTAAGCAATAATTTAAGCCACATGATATAAATAATGACCTATTATAAATGAACCAATTTCAAAAACTAAGCTATGTGTTATAAAAGTGATCGACCTCATGCCAAAATGGAATCTATCACCACATTTCTCCATATTTATAAGCTTAGCATAAGTAGGGCAGAACTTACAGTACAACCAAAAGGCTTGGGGCAACCTTCAAAAAACATAAGAGTTTTGGTCAATTTCTTCCCCCCTTGCCCAGCACTACCATGCTCCTCGAAAAATTTCTCCACATGGAACGAATCACAATGTCCCAAAGTGGTCAATTTCTTCCCCCCTTGCCCAGACGTGAGATGATCAACTGAAGGTACTATTTGTGCACCTGTGCAACGAGCAATACGGTCCAAAAGTGGTTTCTTAATGTTCAAGACAAGTGAAATATCCTTTGTGAGAAGACATTCTTGTGCACATCTTGACACTGACTTCTCTACTAAAAGAACATTAGGGTGGTGAGCTTCAATCTTTGCAACTGCCATCTTCAAATGATCCATTTCCTGGAAAAGGAAGACAATGCTCATAAATGATAAAGCAAAAGACTGGAGAACAGACATATGTGAACAGAGTTCTATTATTAAAGTTGGATGAAAAGCTAAAATATAAACCAGAACCTGCTGTAGCAATGTATCAACACTTGACAAGAGGTTAGCAACTCGCTGATACTCCAAAGCGCCACCAAGGATTAGAAAACGAGGTTTACTAATTTTTGACATCATTCTCCGATGAGCCACATTTTTCTTACAAACAACTCCTTTCACTGCCATGCTAGAGAGGAAAATAAATTCTAAACATAAGAAGGTATCAAATAGAAATAAAAACTAAAAAGGCAGGAGAGGCAGAGTATTTGCAACAATATGTCCATTGCATCATAATGTCGTGTTAAAGTTTGATACCAAGATATGAACTTGCATTTCAATCCAGGGTATAAAACAGAACATTATCTCACTACAGGTCCACCTGTAGCTTTCAAAGGATCAATCCCCATTGAGAAGATGGCCAAGGATGCATAAGGGGAATACTACCAGCGACTGTACAGATATTCAGGGACATTGACCAACCAAAAACTTAAGATGACAACATCAAATTTGAAGAATTTCCATTACAAATTGTAAGAGAAACAAATCTGAAGAGTAGAAAAGCACAAAACTATGATAGAACTAGCATCTCCAGTGTGTAAAATGCTACACAATGGAAGCTAGATATGTTCCGATGGCTACGTGCAAAGTTGGACTGAAAGAAGTGGGGTCAAATTGAGTAAGGAGTTGACTAGTTTATTTTATGTATTACCTCTCACTGCGACGCCCACAAGCTAGGCACTTAACCTTCACATATCCACCGGGATCCATTCCTCCACCGTTGCTTGTATCTGGTTTAAGATGACTGGCTACTTCCCAGGACAAGGTTGTTATTATATGCAACCAACCTTCTTTATCATCATCCTCGCCAATATGTAGGTTTTCAACTTGTAAGAGTTGTGACACTAAAGCTCTAAAGTGCCCTTCCACTACATATTTCATAGCCTTCCGATTATCCTCACTTGATTTCTCCCTACCCCTTAGTTCCCCGCTACCAAAGCTATTGGAAGGGCGTAAATATCCCCAATCCCCTGTAGTCCCATCATCTTCTTCATCATCATTATCATTGAAGAAAAGAGTTTCCCTGTCATCCTCTTCATCTTCTGGTTCAGGAGGTAGCCAAAGTAGCCCATTGTTCTCAAAATCAAAAGGCTCGTTATCTGTGTTCTTTGTGGCATATGGAGTAGTTTCACACTCATCACCATAAGCGTCAGATGGTTCTACAATATTGTTGATTCCATCCGCACCTTTTGTGTTAAAATCCTCTGTTAACGATAAGCAACTTGATAGTTGGTTATCAACAATGTCTCCTCCATGATGTGCTTCAAAGTCATCAATAGATGTGGAACCACAATATTCATCCACATAAGAGAAATGCCTTGCCTGCAAGCCTGAGCGGTAGATACCATAACAATCATCCTCATCATCATCACTCCCAAGACTGCAACAAAAGAAACAGGCAAAGATCTATGGTAAAGTATAATCCATTAAGATGCAAGAGAATCAAGACACATAATATATAACATGAAAAGGGTATCAACACATTATGAAGATGAGGGTACAAATAAATGAGGAATGAATCGAAATTCTTCAATGAACTTTTTCTTTATCTTTTCTCCTTGCATTTTATATATCATCACCACCTTTATTAATTTTAACACAAAAGGCAGCAGACTTCTATAATATTAGTTGTTACCCACATGAACCATATATTAGTTGCTACGTCAACTCAACAAAAAAATATACCTGTTCATGCAATATGCATAATGGGTAGGAGACGAGTGGAATGCAACTGCAGAGGGATCTTTACTCCCTCTGTGTGGCTCATTGTCCTGCTCTACTATTGTTGTATCCATCTGTCCAAACTTCTGAGGACTGAGACAACAACTGCGCGACACACAGTGGTATGGCCCAGTTGAATATTGAGTTGAACCAACTGTACTGCTATTGTTATTACATGTAGAGCTAGAATTTGTGCTGGCCAAGCTTGCTGCAGAAGGTGATGAAGAGAGGCCAGAGGTAGCCACATTGGACCCATTATCAGTAGCTACCAAATTATGCTCATATTGCTTAAAGCAATAATTACAGACCCTCACTCTTTCTTTGTCTTCATAGCAAATCTTTGGGTCATTAGATAGGGAAAGAACTGCTTTAGTCGTACACTTGGCACAAAAAATGAGGCCACAAATGCGACAATGATGCCTTCTATTAAGTACTGTGAATAGGGAATCACACTCGTAGCATACCCTACAGCTCCGATCAGGCATCCAAAAACCTCTAGACAAATTTGTAGCCTCGCTTCTCCCAGAAATCAAGGATTTCACTTTGCAAACCAAATCAGGTAGTTTATCGTGGGGGGAGCCCATCAACTATAATTTTTCCACCCCAATTCCAAAACATTATGAAACAATCGTGTGATTCTTCCTCACCAATGTAGAAGAATAAAATCCTGACAAAATTTGCCCCTGGCATGTAAGGAATCCCCTGTCAAAATAGTTTCAAAGGCTGGATTAGGATGGAAAATGGATAACCTAGTATAAAGCTAACATGCAAATAGAAATGTGAACAAAAATAAAAAAATCAAATAAACACCAAGCAGTTGTCACTTTCATAACCTAAACTATCAATTGAAGTTCAAATTTCCAACGAGAAAAGGGAGAGGGAGAAAACTGAATCCAAGGAAGAAACTTTTTGAAACCGAGAAGACTAAAGCGGAACCAAAACTCGAATAGCAAGGCAGAAAAACAATACACTACCTGAGAATTCTTGCACAAAGACACAACAACAATTCCAGGAATTCACCCATCTCCTTAAACAAGGCTGCAACATTACAATCAAAAATTAAGTTACGAGAGAAAGGGAAGGGAATTAGTGGATTGAAATGCCAAGTCTAATTACGAAAATGAATACGAGTTGACAAACAACCCACAAAAAAAAATTCAAGTACCAGCCAGCCACAATCTCTGAAATCCCAAGGCTCGGTGCATCCAACAGGAATTTCACACAAGAAGGAGAGAAAAGAAAAACCCCTGATATGAGAAACTCACTGCAGAGAAGGCAACAAAAAGTTTCAGGGAGAAGACAACAGCGGCAGGCAGGCGACATCACAATTGGGGCGGTGATGCTTTGCTAGGGCATATATTTGAACGAGAAGAGGCAAAAGAAAAAAGAAATAGATACCATCATAGCAGAGGAATTTAGAAATGGAGTGGGGAAGGAGCAGAAAAGGGAAAGTAAAAGAACAAATAGGAATCAGATCTCGTCTCCGGTTGCGCTAATATCAAGAGCTCTCAACAAAACCCATTACCGTTGTTCTGAAAGTTGTACCGGTGGCAAGCAGGAAAGATTGCTCTGTATCTTATTTGGATTAATTTCTGGTGAAGAGAAAATATTTAAATTTCATTTTGTCCCATTGTCCTAGTATTTCAATTTCTTCACGTAAATAAATTGTTTGGTTTTTTATATAAGCAACACCAACACATACAAGTAATAGATATACATAACATTAAATATAAATAAAACACCCTATGGCAAAAAAAAAAAAAACTAGAATGAGGTAAGATGAAATCCTATTTAGGAGATGTTATCATGACAACCTACATCTACATCCTACATTTTTTTAAACGGATGATCAAGATTGTTTTGGGTAGTTCTAGAAATAAAATAAAAACTTATCGTATTTGATTGCTACGGCTTCTATATACAACTTTCCACCTCTCTCTCTCTCTCTCTCTCATCCTAACAATTCTCTCTCCCCATCTTCCCTCTCTTCCGCTCTTCCTATAGAAAAGCATCACTAGTCTCAACCTCAAGAGTGATGATTTTGCCGGTGAGCGTCTTCACGAAGATCTACATCTTTTTTCTTAATGCCTTCTTTTGGGCAAAGTTCTTAATTGAGATCATAACTCAGGTGTCCAGAAACCACCACCAAGTAATGTCAACGACAAATAGCAGTAGAAGGACAGAGAAGAGGGAAAATGTCGCTGACAGAAAAAGAAGAGTATCAACGACGGATAAGAGCAGCAGAGGTACCGGGCTCCACCTCCGGCACTCAGTCTTAGCCTCTCCACCTCCGACTCTCAAATACCAACATCTCCACCTTCAACTTGGGGTGTCCATTCGGGTTTACCCGAAACCGACCCGATTAGATATATGTTCGTTTTTTGGGTTCGGGTTTGTTTTGGGTTTAGAGTTTTTCGTGTTCGATTTTGCTTTTCGTTTTTTCGGGTTTCAGCTGAAAACCTCCAAGAAATAGCACTCAACCCGTATTCTTAGGTGTTCGAGTTTTCGGGTTTCGGCTTTGCTTTAACCGAAGTCGATAAGGAATTTTCGGGTTTCAGGTAACCGAAAACCGAAAGTCCTTATCGGGTTCGGGTTTGGTTTTAGTGATTTCGGTTTCGTTTTTTCGAGTTTCGGTTCGGGTGACCGATCCCGACCCGAACGGACACCCCTACCTTCAACACTCAATCCTAGCCGACAACGAGATGTGGTTTTTTTGTGATTATTGGTATTAACTTTTCGTAGTGATATTGTTTTTTATTAGTATTGATTTTCATGTAATGATATTGCTTTTCGGTTTTGGTTTTATCTTATTGGTATTGAGCTTCATGTATGATATTCGTTAATATGTACTAGTATTGGTATTGGTTAAATTCTTATTGGTATTGGTTTTCTTGTATTGGTATTGATTATTGTGTTATGGTATTGTTTTTTTAGGTAGTCAGAGCAGGGGCGGAGCGAGGATTTGGCGGTCCCCGCCGGGGGAGGGAATTTCTTACTCTATAATAGAAAAAGACATTAAAACTGAAAAAATAATAAAGAAAACATATATTTTAATATTATTATAGATATAATTTTATAGATGGTTCAAGTAACTCAAAATAAGTTTTAAACTTCAAATTTCTAACATGATAGATTCAAAACCGTTGATTTTCATTTCAAGATTAAATGAATATTATGCTTTGGGTTAGTGAATTGCGGATTGGAGTTCACCAATTAGGGGTTAGGGTATAATATCATGCCCCAAACTCCGGTTAATTCATTGTCTAAATAGCAAAACTCAATGGGCGTACGGTAGGCTAGGGTACGTCCGGGCGTACGCTAGCCTTTGCCATATATATATATATATATATATATATATTAGGAAATAAAAACACACCAATTAAAATGTGTTTCAATGTTGTATGTCGTTTCATTTTCACTCAAAATAATATCTACACTAATATCATTACATGTTCAATATAGCTTAGGAAAGAAACAAACAAATTAATAGTACTTTTGTAATCCATTCTATTTTCAGAATAAATATCTACTTATATTAGTATTTGTTCAATGTTGGTAAAAACAAAAATATAAACTATTACTTTTGAACAATTTCCATACATACATTTGGCTAGCATCATGATTTGATCTGTTGACCCAGGAGTTCTAGGAACTGAATCCCTTCTGTTGGACTACTGTGAATTTTATGGTATCTTGGAGCACACTGTTCTGGTAATATTAATTTGCTTTAGTTTGTACGAAAATTTCATGTTGCTCGAAATTTTACACGTAACTTTCGAAATTCTTGGGCTCCGCCCCTGAGTCAGAGGAAGTACAAATGGCAGTAACCGAGGAAGAAAATGAGGTAGAAGTAAAGAGAGGGGGTAGGGAAATAAACTGAAGAGTTTAGAATTTATTTTTTTAAAAAAAAATTAATTAAAACAATGGAATTTATACAAATGCAATTAATAGATATTTCCTTTTAAAAAAATTAATGTCTAATTTGTCTTTAATTATCATGGTGACAATAGGTAGTCACCGTATAACATATGTTCGATTTTAGCTGCCACATCAATCAAGAATAACAATCAATTTTATTACTAGGCATCATCGATTTTACAAATTTTGGTTATATTTTCTGTCAAATTCTAACACTAGCTCTGTGTTGTAATTTGAGCGAGTTAACATACATTTACTATGTTTTGTTGTTGCCAAAGGTAACATAGCCTAGTGGTGAAACCACTGGACCAATTGAGCTCTGGATGTGGGAGGTCCTGAGTTCGATTCCCAATGGCGCCACTTGAGCGTTCCCGGTGGCACCCTTGGTATCGGAGGTGAAGCCTCCCCGATGTTGGTAGCAGAAAGCCTCGGTTAGTATGCAAGTACCCCCAATGGTTTAGTAGGCCCGTTGTCACTTAAGCGGTAGTCAATCAAGTGGGTAGTTCGTATTATTATCAAATCTGAGCACCTGTTAATAACATTGAACCTCCCTAGTGATGTTTTAAATGTGAGGATTCTTCCTCTTATATAATTTAAGACCTCTGAATAGTTGAAAGTATTAGTTCTGGTGCATATTTTTCATTTTTTAATTGGATATATGCTCTACCAATGTCATTGATAACGCCTAAATTGGTGTTATTTACCCTTCATATTGAGATTTGTTTCGTGTCAATTCATGTGCACAAATGTTTAAACATCATCAATTGCATACCTATTCCGTTCCTATTTGAATTCCATGTGATTTTAGGGTGTGTTAGACGATATAGGTACAAAACAAGGGGTGTGTTGAATTCAATGCTAATTAGGTACAAAACAAGGTCACAAGTGTAGCAAGGGGCAGAAGACTGAAAATCGTGGCCTAGAAGTAAAGATCACGACCGAGATCTTGGACCGCGAAGTCAGCTGAAGATCGCGGCCTTGAAGCCCAAGATGTACCCTCTGTTTTGATGGCAGGAAACAGAGTAAATGTGGAGGGGAACATAGTCATTTTTTTTAATTATGTAGAAAGCATAATGAATTACAATCAAAATGCGATGTGGTCTAAATCGTACCAAACCGTTAATCTATGCAGTTTGGTTTGAACGCACCGATAACTTAGCGGTTAAAGATACTGTGTGCTTCGATTAAGATGCGGTGCGGTTTTATCAATACGGTGTGGTGCGGTCCGAACCGCACCGACGCTCACCCCTACCTACAATCGTGCTTCTCATCTTCATTAAGGGATTTCAAAGAAGTACTTAGATAGACAAGCATCGAGTTTGCAAGCTACGCATAGCTCAAATGCGTAAAAGAAAGAGCGCGCTTCATGGGAGTCAATCCATGTCTGACGTTCAAGGACAAAAAATAGAAGTGTTAGCCAGAGATAACCCAAATTTCTATGCTTTATCATTTTATTTCTGTTACCTTTTTTGATTTATCTTGTTTCTTTGTTTTTCTCTACAAAATCGATGTTGGCCACTTATTCATGCTCTTTCTAAAATTTATCGACATTCGAAGTAACTTTGTTCTACCTTCCTTATGACACTCTATTTATAGTGTTTATCACTCACATGTTTGATACATTTTCCACTTATATCAATGAATCATTATTAGTTTATATTATATTTTATATGGAATTCGTAACTGTTTGATTAATGAGCTTATGATAGACCGTGAGTGTGTTTTCTATTATTTTAGGCCCTTTTGGTGTTGTTTTGTGATTTTTCCAGGAGATAAGGGACTCAAGACGAATATGGATCACAAAGAAACCCAATGAATCAGAAGGAGTTAGAGAATACAAGTTCATGGGCTCAAACGGATATGGATTTTGACACCTGAAACTCAAGTTATGGACGAGAGAATAGTATTTTGAAGAGTAAAAACAAAAGAAATAAAAACAAGATAAAGTTGAAATATCAAGCAATAAGCAAGTTCAAATAAGTGAATCCATCTTGTTTCCTGCTTTTAAGTGTCTCTTTAATCACAAACTTTTTGTCCTAGATTTACTGCTCTGCATGGTACTAATACGAGGCAATGTTCTTACTGATGTGGTTAGATGTTTTATTGACTCTAGTTGACCATGTAGTTTTCTAGGCACTCACTACATATGATCAAAAGTTACATGTGAGTCGTATGATTTTGAGTATGGTTTGCTTGGGGACAAGAAAAGTTCAAGAGTGGGATAATTTGATGACACATAAAATATACTTTTTCATCACCTGATTTTATGGATGTGTTGCATCATTTTTCATACCTTT